TGGTAGCCCGCACATGGACAACTTTTCCTGAGTTGCGCTCGGGTCAATTTCTCATGTGAGCCCGTACACGAGCAACTTTTTATTGTGAGTTGTCACAACCAAAAAATTGTCAAATATAGAACACACACATCGCTATGGTAGCCCGCACATGGACAACTTTTCCTGAGTTGCGCTCGGGTCAATTTCTCGGACAACACAACTATTGTTGGCAACTGTGGGCGGCGATAGAAAACGTTAATTTAAATGTGAGCCCGTACACGAGCAACTTTTTATTGTGAGTTGTCACAACCAAAAAATTGTCAAATATAGAACACACACATCGCTATGGTAGCCCGCACATGGACAACTTTTCCTGAGTTGCGCTCGGGTCAATTTCTCGGACAACACAACTATTGTTGGCAACTGTGGGCGGCGATAGAAAACGTTAATTTAAATGTGAGCCCGTACACGAGCAACTTTTTATTGTGAGTTGTCACAACCAAAAAATTGTCAAATATAGAACACACACATCGCTATGGTAGCCCGCACATGGACAACTTTTCCTGAGTTGCGCACAACAAAAAATTGAGAGGGAGTTGCGCTCGGGTCAATTTCTCGGACAACACAACTATTGTTGGCAACTGTGGCCGGCGATAGAAAACGTTAATTTAAATGTGAGCCCGTACACGAGCAACTTTCCGTTGTCGCCACCACCCAGCCTGCTGCTGCCTTGCCCCTTCAGATATCAGTGGTGAGAGGAAGTGGTAGCTATCATGTCTGTAATAAAAGATGTATTTGACTGCGAAACACTCATAACAGCGGTAGAGAAGAGACCACCTCTTTATGATTTCCAGCTGAAGGAATACAGCGATAAGAATATAAAAGAGAAGTTGTGGCGTGAGGTGTGTGAGGCTGTGGTGAGCGATTGGAATATTCTCTCCCCTGAGGATAAAAAAAGAAAAAGGTAAAAAACATATTGTATTTGAAAGGAAAATATCTATCAGGTGGTTCACTTTTATAGCGGTGACCTTTTATATTTTGTTATACTGCCATGAAACTGCTCCTTAGGGACTAGTAAAGTATGATGCAAAGTGATCTCGTACTGTTTTTCCTCTCATGTTACATCTGGTGCCAACACGATCAATGTCATTCATTGGACATTCATACAATGTTTCTTCAAAGGTGACACCCTCATGTTTTTTTACGTAGTTGTGTAAAATGCAGCATGCCTTAACTATGACATCACAAAACTCAGGTTTAACATCCAGAGGTCTATGGAAAATTCTCCATGTGTTTGCCATGATACCAAACGTGCATTCAACTGAACGCCTTGCTCGTGACAAACGATAGTTGAAAACACGTTGTTGACCTGTCAGATTTTTGTTTGGATATGGCCGTAGAACATTCTCAGTCAAAGCAAATGCCTCATCACTGACAATAACGTATGGCATGCAAATTCTACTGTTGTCATTTGGTAGTGGGCATGGGTTTGGAAGCTTAAGTTCCCCAGAATCTAATTTTTTACAGAAATCAGATTTTTTAAACACATTTGAATCACTGGATTTTCCAGTAGCTCCAACATCAATAGCTGTAAATGAACACCCACTGTCAACTAACGCCATGAGTACAATTGAGAAAAACTGCTTGTAATTATAGAAACTAGAACCACAATTATCTGGATTCTTGATGCGAACGTGTTTCCCATCAAGAGCACCAATGCAGTTTGGGAATTGTGTGTTAGCATAGAAATCCTTTGCGACTTGGAGCCAGTCACTTCCACTTTTCTCAGGCATGTAGATGTTCTGCAGGCTTTTCCAGAGTGCTTCACATGTTTCGTAGAAAATTTGACGAATTGTTGATTCACCAAGCCGGTATTCAAAGTAAAGCGAAACGAAGCTGTTCCCCGTTGCTAGGTATCTGCAAAAAAAAGTTATTAATTTCATAAATTTCAGGAAACCAGCTACAGCGAAGATGGAAAAATCTCCGTGAATGCTTCAGGATGGCGTTAAAGGATCAAAAAGGCAGGTCAGGAGATGGTGCCGCTAAGAAAAGGAAGTATGTTTACTTTGATCAGCTCCTATCCCTTGCACCAACTTTTAACGAGCGAGAAACCACAGGTAACTACTCAGCACCGGAGGGTAATGATAAGGAGGAAGAACGTGAACAAGGCGACACACCAAGTAATTCTGCAAACGTGAATAACGCACAAAGACCACATAAAACAAGAAAAATCCAAGGAGCTTCCAACAACAGATATGAAGAAGAACTACTTGAAATATTAAGAGGAAAGACTAAAGAAAATTGTGATGAGGATACAGCCTTTGTAATGTCACTAATTCCGAAGTTTAAAAAGTTCAATGATGAGCAAAGATTTGAAGCACAGATAGAAATAATGAAAGTGATGAGAAGAGTACAGATGATGACGACACAGATTCCATCTACTGCTTATCATGGCAATACGCCCTCTACAAGCACTTGTCAACCATACGTTGCTGTACCAGGTATGTCTCTGAACACCCAA